AGTGACCTTGTGCTTCCTCAGATATCATCAACCTCATTCTGAAACAGTTTCTCATTGGGCTGGAACTCACTGATTAGGGTAGGCTGGCTGGCCAATGATCCCAGTGATCCCCTGTCTCCACCTCCCTAGTGCTGGAATTGCCAGTGCACACCACCATGCCCTAATGTCCCATATGGGTTCTGGAGATCAAACTCAGGTCCTCCTACTTGCAAGACAAAGGAGTCACCAGCTGAGCAATCTGCCCAGCTCCCATGAAATTAAAATTTTCTCAGACAACTGTTTTTTTAAATTTTCAGTATAATCTAGAACCTACAGAGACCAGGCCAGCCTTTTAAGAGCTAACAAGATGCCACGATTAAATGAAAACATTATATAGACTAATGGTGTTTCTTTAGTCTGCTTTGCTTTTAGAATTTGCTCAGAAACTCACTATGTGTGATATGTGTAAAATGGCAATGGTTTAGCCATTACCGATACCACTTATAAATTTATGGATGAGTGTATTTCTAAAATAACTAAGCTGAGGTGCCTTTTACCCCAACTCTCATCCTTACCTGCAGAGGGGCTTCAGCCTCTATCAAAGCCCTCTCCAGCCTTTTCTTAGTATCAGTAAGTGCATTTGTCTCTCCAATCATTTCATCCAACTCATGTATAATTTCAGATTTCCAGAATGCTATGTCATTGACTCGTTCTCCCAAATTTTGGGTAGAGTCAGCCTGGGTTTTCCGGATTTGCTGGTATTTGTCTTGAATGAGGCGAGATGTGTCCACTCGAAGTCTCTCGGAATTATGCCGTGAGCTGTTAGATTCTTGGAGGCTGACTAAACTAGACCGATACCAATCATCAGCAGTATACCTTGTGAAGAGGGTGGTTCTGTTGGACACGAAGGGGAGCATAGTGCTCTCACACACTCTCTGAGCTCTCGAGCTGTATGGGCCCAAAGTTGGGTAGTTGGAGGCCGTTTTGTAGTATGTGCTTGGTCTCCATGGAAGGCTCAAGTTGTGTGTCAAATTATAGTGGGGAAAGCGGTCCCGATAGCTGGATGTTAGGGTACTAATGGCTGGGAGAAAACAGGTTGATGCTGGTTGAGGGCGGTCATAAGTAGCCGTTAACATAGAACCTAAAAGCTCCATGGTGCCCCAACAAAATTTGCAAATCTTTCCTGCAAAGGAGGGATGGAAAGAAGGAAGGAAGGAGGGAGGGAAGGCGGGAATGAACAAAGGAAGGAAAGAATATCATATAAATTAATCTTATATAACATACACATAAAAGGTTACATTAGACATAGTACCAGCTTTGGTGATTCCGTGCTCATTAGATATCTGTTCTCATATGTTATCAGTACTTCTTGGTGATAATGTCAAAACATTTTCATCCCTGTGTCTCTAAAATATATGAAGGTAATATGTTTTCCTATTGTCCATTTGAAATTCAAATGTTTTAAATTAAAACATTGTTGAGTGCAAACTCAAATCGAGAGTGTGGCTTTGTGCTTAAACAGATAACTATGCACTTAACAGATTCAAATCTTGCCCCTGCTATATAACGACAGGGCAAATTACTGAACCTTCTGCTACCCCATCTACAAGTCCAAGGGATCAATACCACACTCTCTTCTTTGCAGGAAGCATTTCCTTAGCAGCACTCCCCTGCCCCATCACACTCTATTAATAATCACGTGATCTTGGTGGCAGTGTGGTGGCTGGTGTGCATATATTCCAATGAAAGTATTAGACACTCCCTCTAAGAGCCTCTGATATAGACATTGTTGAGCAGCCATGTGACTGTGGCAATGCTAAGCATTGGGACCATTGGGACAGCATTGGGCCAATAAATGTTAACTTTTAAATTACTAGTTGAAAGGAGTAAACGATGTCAAAGTAAATCTCCTTTCTCCCTTAAAAGTCCGCTAGCTACTCAGAAGGAGTCACTGTGAATAGCTCATTATTGATTATAACTTTTCAAATTATTCAACTCACATGTAGATATATATGTTATTTATATACTATAGATATCTACCTATGTGCCACTTACATGTGCAGAGCTTTTCAAACAGGAAACACTGAGTTACTGAGTTATCCCAATCACATCATATCATTTTTTTTGTTTGTTTGTTTGTTTGTTTTAGTTAAATATATATCTAGGACCTCCTAAGAAGACAAGGACACCAGAGACTATGACACACTTTTTGGAACATAAGTATAATTCTACAGGGGAAGTAATGTCTAGCTATAGACCTGTTGATAAAAAGAAAAGAATCAAGTCATAGTCAATTTGATGTACTATGCAGATAAAAAGAATAAGTCCCTTTAAGATTAAATAGCTATATACCAATGCCTTTTGACCAAAAGCACAGAATAGCTGATTTGCTGATTTGTGTTCAAGTTAAAATCTACCCAGACCACATCATAGAATAGTTGCCCATACCAAAATGGCCTAGGTAACACTTCTCCCTCCTGTTTGCTGAATCCTTCTGTCCATTTGCTCCTAATCACTTTATACTGGAAACTCTTTACTTCAGTTTGAAGCCTTAAATATTGCTTTTCTTAAAACAAGTTCAAAGTCACTTGAGGTACTGGGGACCTAAGGCTGCCTTCCTTCTAACCCATTCCCCTTGTCAAATCCAGAAATGACATAGTTTTCTTCTAGAAAAAAAAGTTTCTATTTGGCTTTGGTTAAAGCTTGGCAATAAAGGATCCCAAATCCAGAGGGTCACTTGCTACTCTGACAGTGGGATTTGAAGGATGGCATGCCACGTGGATATTTCTAACACCTGCGATGTTGGCATTTTTAGATATCTCAATCCAAAATTGTCAAAAATGAAATCACACAGCCATGTAAATGCAGGTTCATATGCCATATGAGACACATGGACTGAGAAAAAGCCACACACAGAGAACTTTGTTTTAGGGAAGGGATGGCCAAGGATCTGGACTGATGCACAGGATGTAGAATTCATGTGTGGTGATGAGTTCCATAAGAACCAACTATGCTGTAGCCCTCTCGAACCACACTCTCTTGCTACCAACTGCACATAGGGCCAAGCAATCGCCTTCTGAATACACGAGCCAAAATTAATCTTCTCTCCTTAATTAGTTCTTTTCTGGTAGTTTTCAATAGTAATGCAAAGGCAAGAATAGCATACCAAGGACTTGCATGGGCAAAACCTGAGAACAGGTCTCTCGGTGAGCACATTGGCCCACCAGTAACTTGGTTGCCTGACAACATCAAGACACTCAACCATGACTCATCATAAGTGCCTAGCATCCAGGCAAAATTTGCCTATATACTAGGAGGCAGAAAAATATGGCCCATAATTAAGGAGAACCAGTCAGTAGAAGCAAGTCTGGAAATGGGAAGAACAATGGGGCAAGAATGACAGTAGGAAGAGTCAGATGGGACTCCAGCAATAAAATAGGCAGGACAAATGCAGACAACATGTTCTCAACCTAGTATATGAGACAGACAGAAGATTAGACACCGGAGAAATAGATACTAGTACACATAAACCTTATAAATAGGAAACAGAGCTTGTATTCAACTGAAAGTAAAAATGAAAACCAAAGTGGCAGCATATGGGCACAGGAACTGTGCCTTTGTGACATTATAAGGAGCAGGACCAAATGTTGGAAGAAATAACTGAATATATTCCACAATGAAGGAAACTATCATAGTCTCTAGATGGCTATAAAAGTACAGAAATCCCACAAACTGTAAAAGATAAACAAACACACACACAATCATACACATACCCTAGTGCCACCCTGAGACTCATCCAAATGGAATTCCTGGAAGCCAGGCCTAGAGAAAAAAGCTTAGAAACAGAGAAAACAACAACATAATAAAAAGAGAGAATAGGTATAGGAAGGAACGTAGGATTGTCAGAAACTACTCTGGCCAGACAATAGTTTCTCCCTAATGTTTCTTTTATGGAGCCTGGCATCAAACCTGTAGCCTTTCCTATGCTAGGCAAGCATTCTACCAGCTGAGCTGCATGCCAGCCATGAACAGGGTCATTAGAAGGCTGGAAGAAAGTATGAGGCATAAATTCTCTAGCAAGTGAAATGTCTCCCATTCTAGTTTGTTTTTCATTGCTGTGATAACACCATGACCAAAGGCAACTTGGAGAGGAAAAGGCTTCTACATCCTGATTATAATCTGTCATGCGGAAAGTTGGGGTAGGAACTCAAGCAGAAGCAGAAGCAGGAACCACAGAGGAATGCTGCTTGCTGGTTTGCAATCCATGACTGACTCAGCTTGCTTTTCCACACAGCTCTGGACCATCTGCTCAGGGCTGAAAATGCCCACAGTGGGCTGGACCATCTCACTTCAATCAATAATCAAGCCTTGCCTACGGGCCAATCTGACGGAGGCATTTCCTCAAGGTTTCCTCTTCCCAGACGACCCACACTTATGTCAAACTGACAAAAACAAACAAAACCTAACCGACACAGCCCTCCAAAAAGTAAGGCAAAATACAAGATCTCCAAACAAAAGTCAAAAGGATTCATCAGCAACAGGCTTGCAGAGGAAATTCTTTGGGCAAAGGGAATTATCCCAGATGGAGCCTTGGATCCAACACAAAGAATGAAGAATGTCAGAAATGGCAAGGACGTGTGCTAGCACTATTAAAACTCTTTCTAACTTCAGGTTTCCTTAAAGGATAGTTGCTTACAGTAAAAATGACAAAATTATTGTATAACTTATCAAATAGAAGTAAATTATGTGATAATAAGAGCACAGATGGAGAGTTTGGGGGAAGTATCCTATTTTAAGGATTGTATGGTTGAAATGAATGATAGAATTTAAACATAGCCTGTGATATATTAACATATGCACTGCACACTTCAGAACTGTCATTCTCAAAAGGTAACTAAGGACCAACAGGCGTGCCTAAGTGCTTTTCAGCCCCAAAAACACCAACATTATTTTTGTAGCAAATCCTCAGGGACAGTCATCTTCTTTAGCCCTATGATCTCATAAGTACCATGAAGTTTCCAGGTGTGATGTCACATGTGGCATTACAACAGAGCGAACGAAACAGCAAACTAGGAATTAAAGAAACATGTCACAATGATAACACAGCAACACTCTTATCAATACATTTTATTTTGATTCACACCATAATTTTATCCAATAATATTTGAATATGAATGGTGTGCCCATCTGCATATCTGAAGTCATCCATGTCTGGACTTTGTAAAAAGAGATCTGGATCAAACACTAAGACATTTTAAAAATCGATGTCCTGAAGTAATCTCTAAAAGAAAATAATTTAAAAAAGAGTTCCACCTAATAAGTCAAAATGAAGAAGGAGGGGAAGGAGGAGAAGGGAAAGCAAAGACATGATTTAAAAGAGGGATAAAAATAGGATGATGAGAAGCAAAATTGTGAAGATGACAGACACATCAACTGAATGATTTTAAACAGTAATATTAATTGTATATTATCTAGAAAAACATTTTAAATGTAAAGTATATAATTTGAAAATAAAAGTATAGGAAAACATACAACATAAAAAATTGAGTATGCTGTATTACTATCAAGCCAAGTAAACCTCAAGACAAAATGTAACAATGAATAAAAGGGTCTTTCAAAGAGAGATGTCAAGGCAGGCAAGATGGCTCAGTGGGTAGTGCTGCCTTGCTGCCCAAGCCTGGAGACCTGAGGTCCATTTCTGGGATTCATATAAATATCAAAGGAGAGAACTTACTCCTAGGGCTTGTCTTCTGACCTCTGTGCATGCCCACCAGCACATATAATAATAAGACATGAAAATAACATTTTAAGAAATATAGCAATCTTAAATGTCTATGTGATCATTGACATAAATTCATAACAAGATTGTTAAGATTAAGGCACAGGCAAATACACAACTACAAATGGATATCTAACACCTTTCTGTCAGTTAAATCATAAGAAAGATATATTCTCCAATACCAGCTAATCTAGATAGCCAGCTAGCCAGGATCCTCTGTCTCCACACCCCCACTCCCCCAGTACTGTAAGAACCACTACAAATGCTCGGCCTTTGTGTGGGTTCTAGGGATCCAAACTCGGATCCTCATGCGAGGTACTTACTCCACTAAGCCACCTCTTCAGCCCAAGCAAAGTTTTTGAAAGACACAAATTA